AACGTCCCTTGAATTTCGCCTATTGATTCATCAATAGCTTGATATGAGCTTTCGCTTCGGCACTGTTTGAAGGTTTGTTTCAGGCACGAAACAACCTCGTCAATATAATATGTTTTACTTGCATTTTCTGGCTTTTCTGGTGCAGCAAAATATAGTTTCGACAGCAACGTTTTACATCTGTCTCTTGAAATAGCATTTTTTATTGCTAACGTTTCCAAAGAAGGATTAGATGACCAATAATGAGAGAAATTTCGGCACCCTATTGTAAGACATGACAAGCATGCATCCAAGGACAAGCATAATTCAGAGGGGTATGTCTGTAGGGTGAATTGTTTGTCCTAACTTTTCGAGTCGTTGGTTTGTGCATTGAGAGATCCAAATCATAAGACTTTTTGGAAATATCTTGAGAAACACGTCCAAATTCGGTAGCTGAACGATTTAATTTGAATAACAAACTAGGCGATGACTCTGCTGGAATTTTCATTCGAGGTTGGAAAGTTGAATCTGCATGAATCCATAAGATTGGTTTGCAGCCTGAAGCATTAGCTGATGGTATCTCATCAACTGATGAAAGTGATGCTGTATCAGTGTCACTCAAAGCATCGCTGTCCTTTGTATTTTGGGGAATGGTATCATGATCGATATCCATTTCACACTCGTCTGAATCAGATGACTACTGCAAATTGTGTGTTGGATCTTGAAAATCGGAATCGTCTATTTCATCATCCAAATCAACATCTTCGTCATCTGATTCTTCTAAAATTTTTTTGATTTCTTCATTAGTAAGTCCCGGCGTCGAGTCATTTTAAGATTGAATTAATATGTGCCTAAATTAAAAATAATAAGCAAACTATTTCAAAAGTAACCAAAAAGAGTATAATATCTAGAGAAATGATCACATAGGACTGTTGGGACAATGTGTTCCTACTATCCAAAATGAGAGGGACAATGTGTTCCTACTATCCTAGACGAGAGGGACACATATGTCCCGATAATAAAATTGGAAGTAAAACTTTGCCACTTACCAGTTTATTAGAGGTAATCCGCTTCGTGAGTAACTTATATGGCCTTAGATTTATGAATCAATCAAAATTTAATCGAAAATAAGAGGTATTTAAAATAGGCGGTATTTTCCAAAACTAAACTATTAACGTTTCGTAGAGTATGGAATGAGCTGCTACAACACTTCAAAAACGCGGGAATTGCATTATGCACGGTAGTGCCATCTATGTTCTGTGAATGAAAATACCTTCAAAAATATTGGCAGGACTGGTGGGAAAGTCTCCCATTAGACAGAGAAGCGTTTCTATCCCAAGAGTATTTTTTGAAATTTACTTGGGACGTATGTGTCCCGTTAGGCGCGAAAGGGTTAGAATACAGATATAACAGTATGTAAAACTTTTCAGAGTTATGCAAAACACAAAGTGGTAGGTTAGAGGAGTATAAATAAGTATGAAAAGACACACTAGTTACATTAACACATGCACATACGATTCTAAATGCCAAATAATAATAATAACAATAACTACGGTGAAAATAAAATAATAATAAAAAAGAATTTAAAAAATGTATATTCTTTCCTAAAGTACAAGACTGCAGGAGTTAATAAATATACCGTGATAACTGGTAAACTCTGCAGATTTCTGCTTGCAAGTGAATAAAAATAGTGATTCAAAAATTAATTAATTGAAAGATAAGCGCATGGTATCAAACTGATAATGTGATGATCCGTGAAGATGCAGTATTTAAGCCCGTTTCATTCAGTGCTTTTGTCCTTTTAGAACTTTGGTTAAAGATTTAAAACACAATTGTTGTTGAAATTGGGCAAAAATGCTCCGCGGATGAAACTGAGAAAGCCGTGTGCAATGAAAGGGCACTGATCTTATTAGAGCTGTAACAATAAAGCGCGGTCGCGGGCATATAGATACGGTTCAAGGTCGCCTCCCAACTGGTTTTGAGGGCAAGTATGTGGGAGGAAAATCTCTCTGTAGAAGATGACGGGGGAAATGGAACACACTTGCACGTTAAATGATGTAAAATAATTAAAATAAACTCTCAGAAGAAGGAATGGGGAAGAAATTTTCAACGAAGGTAAAGTGTTTAAGAGCCTAACCTCATGAGTAAGATTTCAGCGTTGATAGTCTTGTAAATAAGTTGTAATCCAGAAAAAACTTGCATTAATTGAGCTGAATATGGCACAATTTTAGTGAGCTGTACTTCCTTAATTGCTTGAAATAATAACATCAAATAGCATCCATAGGTATCCTGGGAGTGTAAATTAATCAGAAAGTTCAATTAATTTTATGGACTGCAGCACTATTACACAGGAAGAGTTTTATAAATAACTTGGGCACTTCGCTTAACCACTTTCACAAATAAAGGAATATCGGCCGCCTTTCACGAGAACAATAAAAACTAAATATTTGCTGAAATAATAGTCGTGGGAACCAAAGCTTTGCAGCACTGTGTTCGCGGTATGTTGCAGAAACTTGTGCTATACAATTGAAATTGACTTGTGTGATTTAAACGACACTTACAACAAAACAAGCGAGAGCATGTGAAACTGCAGCCTACACAGCTGCGGGCTGGTCGGCCCAATTGGAGTATATATCGTGGTGTGGAGGTGTTTTTCATGGTTTGGCCTGTGTCCCTTAGTTCCTTTGGTTGGAAACATGAACTCAGATGTATGTGGACATTCTGAACAATGCTGCTCTTCCAACTCTATGGCAATATTTCGAAGAAGGCCTATTTCTGTTCCACTAGGATAATTGCTCCCTTCACATATCGAGACTTGCGCATAGTTTGATGAAATGGTAGTTCAAAAACTGGACTGACCTTCTCAAGGCTCCGAACTAAATCCCAAAAAACTCTTTTGGGACGAACTAGAACGTAGATTCCGTAGCCAGCTAAATCGACCATCCTCATTGCCAGCACACACTTCAGCTTTGATGGAAGTCAATTTCTATGGTCACCTATCAAAAACTGGTGAAAGATTTCCCCCACATATGTGCAGGCTGTCATCGAGGCAACAGGGGAACCAAAATCATATTAATATATGCCTCAGGACTCTTCGAGTTCCTACCACTGGGTATCCGGATACTTTTGGCCAGATAGTTTATAACTTTCTATTAAAGATAAGACACATAATATAATTTAGATCCTTGCATTAAAGAGAACTACATTGTGAATAGATAAGTTTCTTAGAATATTTTAAATATTTAGCGTAGAATATTCAGTGTTTATTTGAATCATCACACGGCAAAATCCACCTATGCTAAGAAGTGATAAAATTATTCACTGCAGAAAATTCGATTATAGAATAAATATACTTACTTGACAAAATTCAAAATATTAAACTAGCAATATAATTATTAATTTAGTATTCAAACAACAAAAATCAGCGATATATTTGCAAATTTTCGCACGACTAGTTTCGATGGTTTTACCAAACCATCATCCTCAGCTGCCAAAAGCGCAAATGAACGACGTAAGATATAGTGATTAGATAACATAAGAAATCCTGGACAAAGTTAAGCTACTGGCGTCATCTATTGATGAAATGAGAACTAAACCATAATTTCCTTCAAGACAATTCTGAAGACAAAGAGGGATTGGAATTAGGGTCGTTAACTAGAACAGAAAGATTTTTGTGAGTGTGAAAAGCCTTACAGGATTTCTTGCCACTGTGGTTTAGTTTACATTGGCCAAGCTACAAGAGCCTTAAAATTTCGCGTTAAGGAACATGAGGCATACGTTAGAAAAAAGGAAGCACAGAAGTCCTCTGTTGACCAGCATTGTTGGTTCGAAAATCACACTTTCAATTTCTGCAGCCAAAATTATTCAAAAAAAAATCTTCCATTGGTGAATTACATTTTCTAAAGGGGTTTCACATTCACAAAAATCTTTCTGTTCTAGTTAACGACCCTAACTCCAATCCCTCTTTGTCTTCAGATTGTCTTGAAGGAAATATGATTTAGTTCTCGTTTCAGCAATACATGGCGCCAGTAACTTAAATTTGTCCAAGCTTTCTTATCATATCTTACCTCGTTCATTTGCGCTTTGACAGCTGAGGATGATGGTTCGGTAGAATCATCGAAACTAGCCCTGTGAAAATTCGCAAATATAACGTTGATTTTTCGTGTTTGAATTCTAAATTAATACTTGTTCGACGTGTTATTTTATCTTAGCAATATAATGTCTAGCAACTGCAGTGAAAGCTCTTTATCTTTGCATAATCCTTCTTAATACATTCCACCTTATACAGATATCACTTCTTTGGATCTAAAATAGTATATAAATAAAACATCAAAATATAGTTCACTCTCCATAATTCAGATGCGGATTATCCGTGCGTGGCGGAACACAGGCACGCCACTGACACTCAACGCTATGAGCGGAAGCGTGTAAAAAATAAACTCGCACAAGTCGGACTATGTTGTAAAAACCGCTGAATTGCGTCTTTAGATTTAGTTTCAAATATTACTTAGTATAATTTTTTCTGCCTGTTTGCTTTTTAAGAAAGAAAGATATACTATACGCTTAAAAATTGATAGTTTGAATTATCCATGTTTTTAAATTATCTTTGATCTGCTTCCTCGCCTTAAATGCGCCTTTTCTAAGTTACAAATTTTGCGACCATATAATTATAGCGTATTAGAAGCAAAGTATTTATTTTTTCACACTTATGGCATAGAATAATGCTGTGCTGCAAAATCTTATAGAGATACCTTCTAGATATTATCCAAATAACTAGAGAAGTTTTTGCTCAGCAATACAGATATCGACTCTGAAAGTGAAGAGAAAATTACCAGTTTCAAAAAAATCCAAGAGAACCTAAATGTTTTATTAAAATATCTAACATTTCAAAAGTTGGTTTCTTCTTCGGACGCATTTTATGTTGTGCTTGGAATAAAACTTCTAGGTACATAATTTTGAAAACAGTATAACGTAGTTTAAATTCCGTAGTTTATACTTACTATTTTATTCCCTTTTGTTTCCAGAACCAGGATATGATTTCACGTCAATATGTATGGTTCAGTCTGCCCTTGTCATTTTGCAGGAGAAAGATAGAATACCCATCAAGTAGGTATTAATAATAACCTGAAATTTTTTGTATTTTTTAATTTTTCTTGCAGTTGTATTTGAATAGACTTTAGTGTCATAATGTTCTACGTATATACAATATACCTATATAAAATATAATATATATTTTGTATACTAATTGCATACCCGGTCAATCACCTAAAAGGTATTTCTCCCACCTTCCTAGCGTGCCTTCGTGGTGTAGCGGTTCTGCCCGCTGGGCCGGTATTCCAGAGGTCCGTAGTTTGATTCCCGGCGAAGGCGTTTGCTCATTTTTCATCTTTCCTGCTTCCAAAAAAATCCTAATGTCTCTACACGCCTAAAAATAGTTATCATAAAACGGAAATACGTATATAGATGTATATATAAAATGATTTTCATGAGTCTGACTAGTGTCATTTCTTAAACATATTTAATAACTCTAGTTAGACATATCTTGATTTAAATGAATTTTATTTAAATCTTGATTAAAAAGGGAAAAGAACATTCTTAAGAACTGCATTTATTGCTTTTCAATCGCTTGGTTTGTTACTCAATAACAGAATTGCATCACTGCACCGGAAGCAGTGCACTGGGAATCGGCCGAATGTTGATATGTCTATTAGCAAGGTGCGTAAAGTCCTGCGGAACATCTTACGCTGTTATCCGGTATAAGATAACTCACGTGCAACAGTTGCTACCTGCTGACCTGGAAACACGTGAATAGTTTGCACTACAATTTCTTGCCCGGACGGAAATGGATAATGAATGGCTTTGGAACATTCCGTGGTCTGACGGAGCTCATTTCCATTTGCAAGGTTCTGTAAATACGCAAAATTGCAGGATATGGGCGACCGACAATCCGTTCCCACTACAGCCATTACCTCTCCACTCTCGAAAGGTCACTACGTAGTGCGAAGTAATGGCAGCGTTTGTCGACAGTCGGTTCTTCTTCGAGAAGATCACTCCTGCAAGATGGCGTTCCTCCGCACATTGCTACCCGTGTGAAGCAGCTGCTCAGCGCTCATTTCGGAGATGATGGAATCATAAGCCACCATTTCCCAACAGCGTGGCCGCTACGCTCTTCCAACTTAAACCCCTGTGACTTTTGGGTTTGGGGATATTTGAAAAAATGTTGTTTATAGTCAGTAGATTGCGAATCTGGCAGACTTGAAGGCAAGCATCACGCACCATATTCATAGCATCAGCCCACATATATATATGTGGAACATGCAGTTTTGCGCTAGCAGGGGAACAAGGAGGAGAGCTTATCGAACAATTTATGCGATAATCATCCGTAAGGTGTTTGTTTCGTGAAGCTTCTCTTGTCACTATCGGTGTTTTCTCTGTTAATACGTATTCTTGTCTTTTCGCTAATAAAATTGCCGTAAACCCTTGGAGTCTGTTGTTTCCTTTCGGCTATACATCCACAACAGCAATGTGAACACTAACAGCGCCATCTTTCGACAAATTTTCGAAGTATTTTTATCTTTGCCAAACAAAATTCCATTACCTTGGAGAGACATTAGGTAATTTCGAAGCAGGAGATATGAAAAATGAGCAACGCCTTCGCCGGGACTCGAACCATCAGCCCTTGAATACGTCGTGCGTGCTGAACACTACGCTACAAAGGCATGCTAAGAAGGCGGAAGAAATACCTTATATACTCCCCCTTTTAAAGGCCTACTGGGGATTAGGAGACCCATTCGCCAAATGCTGGGGGTGTAGAATCATCATCCACCTCCCATTTTTAGTTCGGGCGCCACTGTAGAGACATTAGATTATTTCGAAGCAGGAGAGGTGAAAAATCAGCAACACCCTCGCCGGAACTCGAACTACGGACCTCTCGAATACGATAAAAGAGCTGCTGAAAGACTTTTCTCGTCCCTGAATATCATGTGAACACGTTCATATTTCTTAATGATGACATGGAGGTAATTGCTTAATTAAGCAAAGGTAAGCCAAGGCCTTGGTCCTTGGTCCAAGACGAGCCAAGTCCAGCAAAAGTTGTTGGCGGAAAAGCACGTAGAAGCAAATGGTTGCTTGGTTTTTCGGCATTACTGGTCACATGATGTCAGTGGCAACGGAGTAACGCAAAATGGTCAATTCCGAATATTACACAATCAATCGTTCGGAGAAGTCATCAGAAGTCATCGGAGAAACTCGAAAAAAGTAGAAGAGGCGAATCATTCTTCATCATGACAATGCGAATTCTCACACATCCGCTCAAACAAAGGAATTTTTGACGAGTCAAAACATAGAATTGATGGGTCATCTTCTGTACAGCCCTCAATGAGTTTTCTTTTTATTCCCGCGCATTAAAAATAAATTACGTGGTCAGCGATTTGCAACACCCTAAGAAGCGGTTGATGCATTCAAAGCGCATGTTTGGACTTACCTCAAACGGAGTGTGAAAAGTGCTTCGAAAATTGGTTCAGACGCATGCAAAAGTGTATTGATTTTGTAACGTATTTGCGTTGCTACGATACCAACATAATTCCACTAAGAAATGTAAATCACCGCAGACGATTATCCGCAAAGAATATCCGCAGACGATGCGCGCGCTTAAAAATGTTTTTTCAGTTATTCTGTAAGTTTTGACTGATAAAGTTGGTTGTTTGTCAAAAAATGGCGAGAGTCCTTTAAAACTTCATTACAGACGTATACAAGAAAACATATCTGGTGTTAGTCGCTGTGATCGAAAGGTGAAACCAGTGTTTATTTAAAAACAAAATAAAATACAGTGAGTATAAGTTTTAATGAATACTGTGCCATTTTGTATGAAAATGTTGCATCTTATTATTGAATTCAACTAATATTCTAAGTTTAAGCTTTTGGATTAAAGTGTCAAAATATTTAATGTTCTTTTAAAATTTGAGGTCTTATATTAGAGTGGAAAATTTATTACGTTAATATTAGAATATTTATATTATAAAATTTAAGCTTTTGTATTAAAGTCGAAAATTTACTACGTTAATATTAGAATATTTCTATTATGAAATTTTAGCTCTTGGATTAGAGTCGCAAATCAAGAATTTTGTTGTGTGAATCAATTTAGAGGCTTGAATTCTTTTTTATTTACTTTAGTTTAATTTATTATGAGCACCTTTGCAGATTTTTGTTCATCGGAAAGCACATACGTTTTATTGTATTAAGTGTTTTAGGGGGAAAAATACTTTGTGTCATACTTGAATTTCTAATTTAAAAAAAAGGCTAGATTGAGCAAGTTGATTTAAATTTTTGAATATTGACTAAAAGCCTTTTCAAACTAATTTTGAAACGCTGTCGAAGCGGTTTTCTATTTCTAAATATGTCATTTCTTGCCAAGGGTAGGAAACAAGATTTAATAGAAGTAGCCGAAGAATTAGGTTAGGAAGTGCCGCTAACTAGTAAGGTCCCAGAAATTAAAAAAAAATAATCACTGGAAGTCAGTTTTACCATGAGGAAGAAGTTAAATTAATTCTAAACTGAATAATTGCTAAATGCCTTTCTCAAGAAGCGAGAGAAGAAAGGCTGGCTCAAGAAGCGAGAGAAGAACGCTTAGCTCAGGAAGCGAGAGAAGAACGTCTGGCTCGAGAAGCAAGGGCATATGAATTGAAAATAAAGCTGCTTGAAACTGAAAATCAAGTAATACGAGCTAGAGAATCAACAGCGAATATAGTAGAATCGAGCAACAAAATCCAGTTGTCACAAATTACTCCAAAGTTTAACGAAAAAAGGGATGAAATGGGACTATATTTGATAAAATTTTGAGAGGAAAGCTGAAATGGCTCAGATTCCTAAGAAAGATTGGGTGGCTTATCTTTCGGGTGTTTTACCCACCGAAATGTCCAGTATGTTAGCCAGAGAACCATCTGAAGATGAGACTATGTACGAATATGTGAAAAATCTAATCTTAAGAAGATATAAACTTAACAGTGAAAGCTGAAACAGTGCTTTTATCGACATGAAAAAACTCCTGAAAAATATTTGAGAAATTATGCTCATGAACTTTATAGTTATTTTTTGGAATGGATTGCGGATTTAGAAATTAAGACATTTTAAAAAATCTGAAAGATTTAATTAGTTTACAAAGTAAATTAAATAGTAGGGCTCTCATGGAAGTAAAGGATCATTTTCTCGACCAATGGATGAAATTAAAAAATCCATATGAGCTAGCAGAAACATTAGACGAGTATGAGAGCATTGAACAGAGCTTTAAGAGGGTAAATCCTAGAAAACAAGATTTAAAACTTCAAGAAAGTCATCAAAAAGTGAACAAAATGCAAAGTGGTTATCATAATAGGCAAAATCCTGAAGAAATCTCAAAAGATTTTAATCCTAAACCTATAATTAGGACAGAATGTACTAATAAAATTCATGAAAGGGAATTTGAGAAACGGAGACAACCTCGTTGCTATGAATGCGGATCCCGACCTCAGTGTGATAAACTCAAGAAGAATTTAGAAACTGTAGCATCTAATGAAACTGTACCCTCAAATGAATTTTCCAAAAATAGTTTTAAGGATATTATGGCTCCATATACCAGCCTAGGTACAGTAAATGGCTATAAAATGCCCATACTTAGAGATACCGGTGCAACTTTGGATTAAATTTGCCAAAAGTATGTACAGCCTTCCATGTGTACGGGTGAGACCGTGTGGATACGAACATCTCTGGAAGAACATCCAGTGTACTTACCTTTGGCTGAGGTAGAGCTTGAATATGATCTTGGTCGTATAATAACAAAGGCTGCAGTCTTAAGAGATTCATTAGATCAAGGAAGGTATCTTCTAGGTAACAAAACCGCTGCATTATTTGAAGAAGCAAAACTAGACGAAGACGTTCAAATTCATATGATAAACGCCGTACAAACTCGTGCTCAACAGCGACGACTAAAAGAAACGAAAAATCTGATCTCAACAAATGAGTTAAATTCTGAAATTGAATTTAACGACAAAGACACACTGACTGAAAATGAAATTTTGCTTCCTGTGAACTATGGACGTTCAGAACTAGATCTGATAAAAGCCTCTCCAGAA